CCTCATCTCTATCAGATACTCCTATGCATCATAGGATTTACTTTCGATTTCAACCATAAACTTTTCAAACTCTTGAAAACTGTAAGCCTCTACAGCTCTCATAAACAACGTAACGATGCCCTTGCCTCAATACTTGGTCTTCAGATTTCCTTGTATATGATACATACAATAACCATGATGTGCCTCGGGGAAGACTTCGGCGATACCTTAATTATTTACTGCCCTCGGTCGGTTACGAATACAAGGTTCTCGACATCCCCAATTACTTCCCTCAATTTCGTGAAAAATCAACGTATTGCCAAATCATTTTCTCCGTCAACTATGCCCAATGCAAGAGGGTAAATTTGAATGTTAGCATCTTGACATGTTGCAATAATCAACTTGCCCCCGTATCTCGCCTTGAAGGTTGTACTGTCGACTAGGATTAAGGGTCGCATTGTGTTTCGAAATTCTCGAACGCATTGTCCAAGGGCCATAAAGAAATACTTGAAGCGATTCTCGTCATCCTTCTCAATAAAAAATATCGATTCAGTATTAATTTTTCCCATGTTATAGCAAAACCTGACCAATTAACTAAACAATAATCATAATTTAAATAATCAAATAACCAATATTAAAAAACTGAAAAATTAACAATTGAATTAAATAATTAATTACACATTAGATAAAGAATCGATAAATAATTAAATAAACAATTGAAATTAATGATTGAATTAATTAGATAACTATTAAATAAACATCTAAACAAAGAAATACCTGACCAATTTATCATAACTCTCTCGGTTGAACCTATCAAGTCCTCCAACGCGCATTCTTTGACCTTCCAAGCCTTCTGATAGCTCATGACTACCCCGTACCCTCGACGAACATCATTAATAATGTCTGAAAGTCTGTAGATTGTTTTTGGGTCCTGAAACTTGTGCATTACTTCTCGACCAATGAACCATGATCGGGCTTGCCTGTGATCATTTCGACGAATACCCACTTCGTAAGTATGTTCCCGTGCATACTTACGAACCACAAAGAACTCATTCGTGTCCATTTTCGTTGCTCGCAAACGCCAAAGACAACTGTCGTCAACGCAGACAATTGTGTAAGTTGACTTGTTTGATTTCTTCACTTTAAACTCAAATTTGTGTTTCAAAGCAATCCGATGAACAGCTTTCTGCAAATCTTTCTTCGTGTCAAATAATTGCTCGACATACAAATCTTCATCATCGGGGACTATACGCGAACAATTAGAGGACCGTGCATTCGGTCCAACCTGTAAGCTCCTACTCGATGCATGTCTGAAATGGGATAAAGCAATCAAATTCTCATTTGTAAAGTCATTATCTCTTTCGTTGTCTTAAACTATCGAGTAAATTCTGTATGTAACAGTTAGATCATGGTGAGGAGCAACTGTCTATGGAATAGCTACAACATCATCATGCACTATTGCCACCGTGTCCCAAAACTCATTCACATTACGATCCCTTCCATCGAAATCTTCGTGTTCACTCTCGGGGACATTCTTCTTCATCAAGTTACGCAAATAGGAATCGCACGTTTCTGATTCATTTCAATTAAAACCTTAATTTCAGCCTCAGAAGTAACCATTATAGATGGAATTGAAATGGATGTATTCTCGTCCATTAGAAATCCCAATTTCATGGCGTACTCAGAGGGATCGACTTTCAGCAAGTTCTGTATCTCATTGTACAGTTCTACATACGATGTACTTGATGTTATTACAATTGCAGTACAACCATGTCTTTCACTCGTCTATTTTCACACCCATCGATCATTGTCACTATTTTCAAATTAACCAAAGTAACAAATTAGGACAATCCCATATCTGCATTAGGAAACATCATTTATTAAAAAAATTGTAATTACGAGCATAAAAGGACGAAAAAAAATATAACGCAAGGAGAAAAAAAAAAATAATAAAAATAACGACGTGTCCAGGTCGGCTGTTGGGCCGGATGTTAACACAGCCGGCCTGGACACGTTTTTGACCGGTTGTCTTCTATATTTTGTATCTGAACAGATGAATTTTTTTTCTCGTTTTTGCTAAAAAAAAATTATACATCCATTTAAAACTGTAATATTTCATTTTTCTAAAATCATATGTTGAAATAAAATTTAAATATTCAAACAATGTACTAATTTAACTAAAATAAAATTAAACGTACGTATTTATACTTATCAATTTCAAGTGGCGACTGTGAGTAATATTTTTTTGTTGAGCTTTTGATAAATTTTTGAGATTTCAATGCTCAAGCAGATGGAAGAGGAAATTTCTTTTTAGCTATGTTGAAAAATCTGATAAGAAAAGTGATTTCGTTTTGAGATTTAAGTGGGATTGTTTGGATTTATTAATTTTTTAAAGAGAGTATTATTGTCTTTTGGGCAAATGATATGTTTTTGTAATTACAACACATAATAAGAGCAAAAATGACATTTACTCTTCAAAAGGCTCTTTTGGTGAATGGCAAAAAAAAAAGAAAAAAAATTTGGTCAATGTGAAAATTTGGTATTTTGACCTGGCCATTCTTAAAAGTATCCCACTTTTTTTTGGGGAAATTAGGAAAATGGTCTATTTTATGTCTTGAAATGTCGGTTATATCCCTTTTTGTCTATAAAATTGTACATGCTATTTAGTGGACACACCACTCTCAAGGAAGCTCTTGACGTGGTATCATTGGAAAATAGAGAGAGAAAAAAAGGTTAATCATGCGACGCCACATCAACATCAGTACAAATTTTGTCAACATTTGTCTACACATGATTGTTCCCTTCAAGGAAAGAGTCATTCGGATGCACAAGTTTTGAAATAAATCTTAAAAGCTTTCAAAAGAAGAGTCATTTTGTGAAATAGTTTCAATAGTCTTGTTTAGTCGAATTGTCTTTACAAGATAGTTGAAGATGTCTTCCCTCTTTCGACGTGGTTGGAATAGTCTAGCGTCATGCCCAACTGTCTTGCGGAATGATTTTCTCTTGAAAATTTTTAAAATTTGTCTCAAAAGTTGTGGATCTACTAAGTAATAGTTAGACATTATGCAAATTGAACTTTAGCAATTATTTCGATAGTTATGTTTGAATGCGGTCATTTGCTGAAAATGAAATGTTGAAGTAGTCCTTTATTGGTATTTCCCGTTCTATATATAGACATTACATAGTGCAAAAGGCTTATCAGATGCTACTCTAGCGGTAAGGGGACTTAAGCAAAATCGCCAAGGGACCTTAATCAAATTAATAATAAAAAATGAAAGGAGTAGATAATGGACGATATAAATTTGTCGGTGATAAAAGATGATATTCCTAGTGATATCATTGGTAACGTTGATGAAAATTATGCAGTGTTCTTTAGGATAAAATAATGCTATCTAATTCAGGAAGCTACACTTTAATACTTTATATGTTTAATTAAATGAATCATATGATTTTACATTTAAATGAATTTATAGTTTAATGTCATGTAATTGTCACTTACATTGGTACTTAACAATAATGGTAATGAATAACATTACTTTTTGGCATATAGTAGTCGGTATCAGTGATAAAATTATATTATTTTTTACTATATTATAAGTCATTGACGGATATGTTAATATATATGTATATATATTTTAAAACATCTTACCAAAGGAATTTTCCATTTTAGTATTTAATTTTTATATTGTTGGCACTATTTATTACTTAAAGTTTCGTTGATAAGCCCCCTATTGTGAGGGGCTGTACACCTCTAATAGTGCAAAAGGCTAATCAGATGCCACGCTTGTAGCACGTGGACTTAAGCAAAATCAATAAGGGACCTTAATCAAATTAATAATTGGGCCCAGGCCCCAAAATAAGTTCATTTAATTTTTGGAAAAAATTCATAAGTAGAGATTAAGTATTATTCATTTCAAAACTAAGAACAAAAGTTTCAAATTTAAAAAAATCAAATATTTATTATAACTTATTTATGATTTAATTAATTAATTAAATATATTAAGATCACATCTCTATACAATTTGGTCACAATTTAACTATTAATTTAGTCACATATTATTTTTTGGTCACAAATCAAAATTTTTATATGTGACAAATTATTTTAAAGTCACAATTCAAAAATTTTATAAATCACAAGTTCATCAATCACAGATAAAAAATTTATAAGTCATAATTTATTTATCGGTCACAAATTACAAATATTATAGGTTACAATTTATTATGTAGTCACAAATTCTTAAATTATCAGTGATAAGTTAACAATTTCTTAAGTCACATATTATTTTTTATTCGAAGTTTATCTTTTCATTCGTCACATATTGATTGTTAATCACGGATTAACTAATTTAATGGTCACAATCAACTACATAATTTGTGATCACCACCAGCACTTGCAACTATCATCTCACCACTCACTAGCCAGGGCCGGTCCTGTGGCCAGGCCCATGAGGGCTCCGCCTCAGGCCCAAACCGGATGGGGGCCTCATTTTGGCCAATTTTTTTTTTTTTTTAAAATTAATGAAGTGAAAGTCGAAAAGGAAACATTATTTTCATCCCTTTCCCTCCTGCAATCCGAGTCACTGCTCCGCCTACGACCGGATGACTAGTACGACGCCGGCCTTCGACTTCCAACACTTCAACTCCAACTGGACCAGCGGGGCAGCGACCAGGTGATTATTGATCTTTCATGTAGTGTAGGGTTTTATCTTTTCCCAATTGAATTAAAACCCCCAAATCCCTGAAATCAAAAAAAATCCCCAAATCGATTTCTGTTGAAACTTCACTCCAAAACCCCCCAAATCCTTCGAATTTCTCGATTGGTTTCACGAAGCCGGCTGCTCTCTTCTCTTTGGCAGGTGATTGTCTATTCACTGCCTTATTTCATTTTGGCAGTCTAGATTGATTTTGTCTTAATCACAATCACTTTCGTTCTAATATTTCATGAACTTCGTAGGACATATCCTTTATTTGCTATTTCATTTGATTTTTCTAGTTTTGAAATATTTATTCACCTTTTGATGAACTGATAATGATACTATACAGGTCGGAGCATTGAGAGAAGTTTCTAATAAGGCCCACAATGCAGATCTGAAGTTGTTTTTGGAAATAGAATTTGGACAGGTATCTTTTAACGGTCTACTAGATTATCTTGACTGCTGTTGTTAATGTGATTCTATTATCTGTTCTGACTGTAATTTATTGATAAACGTTCTATATATAGGATCTACATCTAATTCCACCACCTGACAAAAGTAAAGAAGATATTCTTCTGTTCTTTAAGCTTTATGATCCCTATAAAGAAGAGCTCCGGTAATTTTGTGCTTTTAAGTGTGTATATGTGTGTGTGTATTGGTGTTTTTATGTGCATCCATACCTTTTGACTACGTTATTCATTCTCTGTTTCCAGGTATGTTGGTAGGCTTTTTGTCAAAGGCTCTAGCAAGCCAATTGAGATCCTGACAAAACTAAATGAATTGGCTGGATTTGCTTCTGATGAAGAGATTGAACTTTTCGAGGTTGGTCTGATTAGTGTCTTACAGCACATGCACACTGACACCCAAATATAGGGTGTGTTTGAGCCCATTCTTTTTGTAGAATGTATTTTGGAATAGTAGATAGATAGAGAATGCGTGGTTAAAAAAGAAAGAAAATTTTTTTGCGTGTAATAATATTTTAATGAAGAATATGTGGTTGACAAAAAGATAGAGAAAAATGTATTTTAAGAAAAATGGGAATCAAGCACCCCCATAATGTGCATCATCATCCATGAACAATCCCCTTGTTTGTTATTGCTACAGGAAATAAAATTTGAGCCTTCTGTCATGTGTGAACGCCTTGACAAACGAGCTTCATTTTGGTTTAACCAGGTATTTATTATTATATTGGACTGTTGAGCATTTGAAGATATTGTCCTATCTTTTTTATTTGCTAATTCCCCACACC